CATGTTTGTGGTCCACATTCGACTTCCATGCAATGGTGCTAGCAGAGAGGGCGTGCTGTGTTTCTGTCTCCTCAAGTCAACAGCCTTGTGCTGTTTTTTTAAAAAATGCACAGCGAAACGCCCACCAATCCAACACTGTCCACAAGGGCAATACAGCAACACTGATTTCATCCGTCAAGTTGGAGAGCCGTTCTCACCCTCCCTTCCAGACATGCACTCATCTCTCCCCAGGCTTCCTATCTAACCCTTCAAGATGCCGTGAGCAATCAGATCCCACACAGAGAGCTTTAAAAAGCACACAGAGCTCGGGGCAGACATCCTTTACTATTTAAGCTAGACCACTCAAATAGTTCGGTTTAAAGAGAGCTTAGCAGATCTTTCTGATTTGTGGTTTCCGAGTTCAAGATTATCTCGGGACCATAGTTTCAGAATTCCCTCCAGAGTCTCAGTAACTCCAGAAATTCTGAATTCTGTAAAAATTAAAAACCTGTTCTACACGTACCCCCTCTTTTTTGATCAAGATTCTTCTGTAACATCTTTCATCAGTGCTCATTAATTGTAGCTGAGAAAACACAAGTTTTGGAATAGATATTATCCTCAAAACTCTTATCTACATAAACTACACATACTCTCTGTTGAAATGACAAAAATGAAAAGCAGCAAATGCCATAAATCTTTCTAATCTGGGATTAGTGAAATTTGATCCCGGCTTGGTAATAATTAGGTCGGATTAACTCAACTACAAACCAAGGGAAGCCTACTCATTAAAACACAGAATACAAAATTAAAAACAAAAGTTAGTGACACTACACTGAAGAGCAAAGCTTAATTAATCAAAAACAGTAATATGGCCAGAATACACAAATGTGGTCTCTTCAAAAATGCAACGGTAACAACGAACCTCTTTGCTTTTTACACACCAACCTTTCATTTGCAAAAATTAATCCTCTAAAGTTAGGTGGCTGAACTCGGAAACTTATACCAAATTAAAAATTATAAAAAGTTGTATTTAAAACAAGTCTTTACTCCTATTTCACAGTTAACTTCCTCAAGTTTAAACTATATCAATAAAAAGTTAATTCCATTACGTCATTAGCTTTTATTGGAGTACCTGTTATAGCATCACCCAAGTCATCTATCTATCTGTGCTCCCTTCAAGTCCCCTTTTTTAGCCCCCTCCATTGCTTGTTAATATATCAGAAAGAGTGGGTGCCTTCTCTGAAGACAGACTACATACAAGAAAAAACCCCAGATCTCTCCCATCATAGCTGCAGGTCCAGTCCTCCCACAATGACCCAGGCCAGAAGAGATGTTCAGATGATACAAGGAGTCATGAGAAACAATAAACATTCACATTAATCATTCTGTGACCAGTGGGATACAGAGTGCCCACTTAAATTTTCTACCTCCGGAGGTTAGCGGGAGCCTTCAATCCCACTTCTAGTGTGCTGTCATCTTGTGGGAGCCTGTACAACTTCATGAATATAAAGAAACAGACCTCATCGACTAACTATGGACCCACAGACTCCATGGGACACATGTGTCCCACCCACTGTAACCAAATCCATTATTACCTCCATGTTGTCCATTTCATTCAAAATGTTCTTCATTACTGAAAATACATGGTTCCAACAAAAAAAACCCTTCAAAGCAGAAGAGAGTCTGATCTTGAAAGAGTTAAGAACATGCTGAGACAATGAATGGAGAAGGGTACGCCAATTCTGGAGGGGCAAGGAAGGGTCCTGGGCAAGGTGACAGGCCAGAGAGACATGAGGAAAGGAGGCAGTCAGGTCCTGGTAGAGCGAGCACACAGTGGGCACGGCGAGGCTGCCTTTAGTGTCTGTCTCCGCAGGGACACTGGAGCATCTGTGCTCCCCCAGTCTAGGGCTCTATCTTGATTTGACTCATGGTAAATGGCAATCAGCCTCTTGAATCAGCCGTGGGGAAGGATGGAGTGCTGTGACAAGCTCTTTAGATCAAGAGTTGAGCTGTTCACTGGAAGGCTGGTCATGGGAACCCATCACGAGGTGGTCTCATCCCAGAAACCAATGGAGGGTCACCAGGACTCGGAATCTACTTGGTGCCAGGGGCTGGGCTTGGACTGAGTCAGGTCTGGGTCAGTTTTCTTCTTGGAGACCACACCAAGTGCCATCATGTGTCAGCCAACTGGAGGACATCAGGCCCCTGAGTCACACTGACTTCTCAATGCTGGCATGCTTCATTATTTTACATCCATAAAAATCACATTTGCTAAGATGACCGCTGGCTGTATCAGAGGAGTCTCTGAGTATTCTTGCCAACCTGATGGTGCCTTTCCAAAATTCCCATTTTTGCTTGAAACCTGCAGTGTGATCACTGACAGCAAGCACTGCCATTGTCCTCAAAGCAGCAGATTCCACTGATTCAGTCTCTCTACAAAATGTTTGCCAGAGGCTCCAGTCCTTCAAATGCCCCTCAGCCTACAGCCCAGACAGTCACAGGAGGCTTCTGATGGTCCATCCTCACCTCCAAGGAGCTCCGGGACTGTCCTTCACCCAAGACAGATTTGTCCATACTTCTGCCAGTCCACGCTGTTGCTGACATCATTAGACCCTGCCAGGTCAACTGTAACTCACAGCAATCTTACAAACAGTAGGTGGAGACCCTGCCCTATCCTGTGCCATCCTCATCATCTCCTCCATGCACAAACCCACTGTGTCAATCCATACTCATCTCAATGAGGAGTCTTCCTCTCTTTTGCTAACTCTACTTTTCCAAGGACTGGTTCCTCCTGAAAACAAGCCCAAAGTTTCTTCATTATTGCCTCTAAAGAACATCATTTCACTTCTTTCAAGGCAGATTTGTTCGTTCTTTTGTCAATCCATGGTATATTCAACACCTTCCCTACTACTGCTGTTAGGTGCTGTCAAGTACAACTCCCAGTGACCCTGTGAACAGCAGGTATGAACCGTGTACTATCCTGCACCATCCTTATCGTCCCTGATACACTTTAACTGTCTGCCAGAGAGACACTGCACTAATCCATCTCATTGAGGGCCTTTCTCGCTTTCACTGCCCCTCCACCTTTCCAAGCATTCTGTCCCTTTCCAAGGAATAACTTCTAACAACCCGTCCAAAGTATGTGAGGTAAAGCTTTGCCATCCTTGCCTCCAAGAAGTATTCTAGTTGCATTCAAAATATATCTGTTCTTTTGGTAGTCCACTGGATACTTAGCATCCTTCTCCAACACCACAGCTCAAAGATATCGATTCTTCTCCTGTCATCTTTACTCACTGTCCAGCTCTCAGATCCAAAGCAGGAGAATAGGAAAATGGTACCTTGAATCAGGTACATGTAGGTCTTCAAACTGACATCACTGCACTTCAAGACTTTGGAGAGGTCCCTGACAGCAAACTTCCCCATGTTGTGTCTCCCCTGACTGCGGGTGCAAGGGTGGATCCAAGCAAGATGAAATCACAGACAAGTTCAATCTTTTCTCCATCTGTCATGCTACTGCCAACTGCCCCAGTGGTGAGGATTTTTGTTTTCTTGATGGTAAGATGAATTCCACATTGAAAACTTCTGTCCTGGGTCCTCTGCAGCAAGTGCCCCAAGATTGTGTCATCTATATAAAGCAGACTGTTGAATCTTTCTTCAATCCTGATGCCATACCCTTCTTTGTAAAGTCCAGCTTCTCAAATTATTTGCTCAGCATACATTTTACCACAATTCAAAGGCATGATTCCTTCGGTTTTCCTTATTCACTGTCTAGCTCTCACACACCATGAGATGGATGAAAATGCCATAGCTGGACTCAGGCATATGTCAGTCTTCAAAGCACATACATGTACATGTGTGCACACATGTTGTGTGAGACCTGGGCTGTCTCTGTCTCCAGAACCCTGACAAAGACATCTAGAACCTCTGAGACAGCAGAACAGCCTACAAAATCACCCATTAGGACCGCCAGCTGATGCAGGAATAGCTCTGTACACAGCAGGGGATTGGTTGGGCGTAGGGCAAGCCAGGCTGGGTACAATGGCACTTTACAGGTCTGCACCACCAGGCAACAGCCAACATGTGGACTTTCCATAGAGGACATCAGCATGCATCTATTTTTCCAGTGTTGTGTCAGCTCCATGAGGCCCAGACATGCCCTCACTGTGAAGGGGCAAACAAAAGACAGGCTTAAAACCAGATCAATAATTTCCAGGGGGAAATGCAACCTTTACAACATTCGACCATTTGAGATCAAAAGCGCAACCTTTGCTGAGAGAGAATGCTCAGAGGCAGGAAGGTGCAGGAAAGACAGACAAGTAGAAAAGGGAAACACAAAGACTAGGGGGACTATGAACAATGTTAGAAAACAAAACGAATAGGAAAACAACAGGTCTCTATGGGGAGTAACACCAGGAAGGTCTACATGTCTCAGAAAAACTAACCATACGGGATTGAAAGGGCAGCATTTGCCCTGGGAGAAAGTGCCAAAGGCAGGAAGGGGCAGGAAAGATCAATGAAAGCAAAGAAGTGGCAAAGAGGAGGCAGGAAGAAAGCTGTCACACTGAGGGGACTGCGATCAATGGCACCAAACACGGTGTGTCGGAACTGCTGAGGGGAACACCAATCTGCTCTGGTAACTCACCTAACGCACAGTATGTAAAGGAGAGCTCATAGGTGAATGAATGCACTGAGGTACCAAGTCCTTTGGTCCCCAAAGTCAGGATGCTCAGCTGGCCCTCCAAGGCCAGAAGACTCGCTGTGGATGGGGCTGTGTTACCACCCCTCCCAGCAGTCTTTATGCTGGCCCACCTTGGCATATGCAAGAGAAGCAGACAAAACACTAAAGATTGGGCAACATTTTAAAAAAAGGAATAATCTGTGAGCTCTCCACAGAAATAAAACCAGCCATTGGAGGGAACAGCACACAGCACCGTGGCGTGGACACAGGCCAGTTCAGCAGCTGGTAAGCTCTGCCCTGCGACTCCCAAGCACACTGACATAGGCGGGGAGCAAACACGTACCCACTGCGCTTGTGCCGACTCCTTCATGGACTCTGTGAAGGCCACCGCAAACCTAGAGGGAGGAGCAGAGACATGAGACAATCAGGATGCGGTGACCGAGATGACGAAACAGCTCTCCGGAACAAATGAGGAAAGACAAGGTGGGCCTCAACATTTAAAGGGCCATCGATCATCATTACTCGTGGTCACTAGCCATGAGATTGAATTTGTCCCCACATCCACTCTTCTGCATGGGACAAATAATGCAAATAGGTTTCCCAGCTTTCCATCTCCCCTTGCTCCTTCCTGACAGGCAAGGCGAGGGGACTCTTAACAAGGACACGGCCACCAAAAGCAGGGAAGGAGCATCTGAGATGTGCAGAAACAGGTTTTGGAAGGACAGCTTTAGGAGCATGGCTCAAGTATCATGACACTGTGGATACTCAACCACAATTCAACCATTTATGTCCTAAAAAATAGCCATTTCTTATGGTTCAACATAAAAAATGCCTTAGTAAAACATCTCCTACTAGTGAAACAGGAAATCTGTTCTTGGTAGGGAGAAGTGCTATTTGCTAACACAAAGGCTGTGCCTCTCCGGTGGTTCAAATCCACCAGCACCACTGAAGGAGAGAGATGGACAATCTCCTGTCACGCAGTTTACAGCTTCAGAAACCCAACAGAAAATCAGCTATGAGCTGGTACTGACTATGGCAATGACTTCGAGTATGTTTTTAATAATGAAAGTAATTTTGAGGCAATCCATTTTATATGCAAAAAGGAACTCTGGAGGTTCAACAATTAAGTACTTGACTGCCAAGTGAAAGGTTACTGGTTCTAACCCACTCATTGGCTCCACAAGATGACAGTGTTGATAATACTACAAATAAAAACATTTATTTAATGGCACAATCAACCTAGGAGGCTCTGGTGGCTTAGTGATATGGAAATGTATTGTCAACACAAAGGTATGCAGTTCAAATCCACCAGCTGCTCAATGGTAGAAAAAATGGGCAATCTCTTCCTATGCAATTTACTGCCTCTCAGAATCCACTGAAAAGTGAGCTTTGGGTTGGTTCTGACTGACTGACTGTCGTATACAACAACAATCAGCCCTCACAGCACTCCTAGTCCAGTCCACTCCACTCCGGTAAGTACTTTTAGAATGTTGAAGTGCCAAGCAAGTGAGCAACGAGAGTTTGTGTTAAATGTTGTTAGATGTCATTGTATCAACTACAACTGACAGCAACCATATGAACAAAGATCTAAACCTTGTCCTAGGCTGCCCCAGCCTCATGATTTCTGATATCCTTGAATCCACCGTGACAGTCACTCTGCAATCGATCTGAGAATCCTCCTCTCTTTCATGGACTCTCTAGTTCTCCAAGCATGGTATCTTTTTCAAAGGCATAGTCCCTCCTGGCAGCCTAAGTGTCTGAGGCAGAATCTCACCACCTCTACTTCCAAGGAGCAGCCTGGATGTACTTCCTCCAAAGAGGGATTTGTCTTCTAGCCAGTTCATGGTATATTCAATATTCTTTGCCAACATCACAATTCAAAGGCATCAATTCTTCTTTGGTCTTTATTTATTGTCTAAATGAAGCCATGTAAAATGTCATGGCTTAAGTCAGGTGCACCTCAGGCTTTAAATTGACATCCCTGCTCATTCATACTTTGATGGCATCCTTGAGAGTAAATTTGCCCACTGCAACACGTCTTTTGATTGTCTGACTGCTCTAATATTACAAGACATTCTGCTCTGTTATATTGGTCATTGTGAGTCAAAAATTAACCCAATAGCACACCCAGCAATCAAACACTACAGTATTCCTAAGCCACATATATTAAAACTTAAAACCATCAAGTAAGTGAACAAAAGAGAGCTTGTACTAAAATGAGGTGTCTCAAAATTAGCTAATTATTAGGAAGTAATGACCTAATAATAGCATCTATTAGGTGGAACCTAATTTTGAAAAATCACAAATGACTGAGTATTGCAACTCCAAATTTTTGAGCGATGCTGTTAACTGAAGCTGTAAGCATCTTGAAATATCAACATGCTACCAGACTTTAAAAAGTGGCAGCTTTATATTTCTCATAAGAAAAGTGTTACAGTTCAAGGAACAACAGAGAAGCATGGAAATTTGATCCAGAATATCAAGACTGATATTATAAAAATTTTCAACATGATGGAGGCACAAAAATGTAGGAGAGATAGAAGAGAGAATCAGCAAGACAAGAATATCAATGGGAACTTACAAGAAGAAAAACAAATAATAATAATACTACTAATAATAAAACCCCAACATTAGAATCGTGGAAAGACTGCAAACAAAAGAACATACATGTGACTGGAATTTCACAATAGGAGAAGAGAAAGCATTGAGAAAATTGTGGAAGGGGTACTAGAACAAAGTTCCCCAGGTATCCTAAAAAACAAGGACGTATACATTCAAGAAGCTCAGCAAACACCAAAAAGACTAGACCACAAAAAGACAAAATCAAGGCATATATATCATAGTCAAATTCCCCAAAATCAAAGGATAGAATACTAAAAGCAGGGAGAGGGAAAAAAAATTTACAAAGGAGCCAATTAAATTAAACTGACTTCTCAGCAGAAACCATGTGAGAAAGAAAACAATGGGATGGCATTTACACAAGGCTGAAAGAAAACAATTGCCAGCCAAGGACCCTGCACCCAACAAAGCTGTCCAGTAAATATGACGGAGAAACCACATCATTTGCAGAAAAGCAGGAACTTAAGGGATTTGTGAAAATAAGACCAACTGTACAAGAAATACTGAGGGAAGTCCTTCACACAGAAACAGCAGAGGAAAGTGGATGGACCAAAGTAACCAAGAACAACAGAAAAAGGAATGCACCAGAATGGCAATGATAAAAGCTGACCTATCAGTAATTACGCTCAGTGTTGAATAGATTAAATGCACTAATTAAGAGAAAAAGAGTAGCAGAATGGACCAAAAAACCCCAAAGTCTATCAACAGGCTTCTCACAAGAGACACATTTAAGAAATAAGGGAAAAGATACACTAAAAATCAAAGGGCAGAAATAAAATGAATACCAAGCGAGTGGCATCCATAAGCAAGCTGTAATGACAATACTAATATCTGATAAAATAGACTTCAGAATGAAAACTAACCTAAGAAGAAGGAAGGGCACTAAATAATGATTAAAGGCACAGTAGATTAATAGGACACAACACCTACATACCTAATGACAGACCTGCAAAATACAAAAAACAATGGTAAACAAACTTGAATAAAGAAACAGACAACAGCACAATAGTAGGAGACTTCAACACAAAACTATCATCAAAGAATAGATCAAATCAAAAGAAACTCAACAAAGATGCAAAAGAACAAAACTATATAATCAACCAACTCAACCTCATAGAAGCATTCAGCGTACTTCATCCAACAAAAACTCTATATCCTTTCTTCTCAAGTGCATATAGTACATTCTCCAGAACTGATGACATTATTAGCACTTAAAGCAGCCTCAACAAATTAAAAAAATATTTAAATAATACAAAGTATCTTCTCAGACCACAAATCTACAAAGAGACATTAACAAGGGAGAAAAAAAAAAACAAACACCCTGAAAGTTAAAGAACAACTTTCTTGAGCACTACCCAGTTATAGAAAAAATTTTAAATATGATATTTAAAAAGTTTCTCAAAATGAATAAAAATAAAAATACATCCTACCTCTGGGATACAACTAAGGTAGTCCTCAGGGGTCAGTTCATAGCAATAAGCAAACACATAAATAAACTGCTTAATAATAGTGGTAAGCAAAATGAACTACTTCACACCTCCAGCAAACATGAAAAGAACAACCACCTAATCCCACAACCTTTAGAACAAAGGAAACTAAGGAGAAGGGCTGAAATCAGTGGGATGGAAAACAGAAAAGCAAATAAAATCATCAACAAAACCAGGAGTTGGTTCTTTAAAAGAATTAATAAAATAGACAAATCAGTGGCAAACTTAAGAAAATAAAAACAAGACACAAATAACTTGAATAAAAAGTTAAAGATGTGAAATCACAACGGAACCAGCTGAAATTAAATGGACAATATCAGAATATTATGAAAAGCTACTACAATCGCAAGCTTGGAAACAGGACTGGCATCTACTTCCAAAATAGCTTGCCTCTGGAAACGCTATGAACTTGGAGAAATGATGAAAGGTTATACTAGTGTTCGGGTCTTTCATTCATAGGGTCGCTCTGAGTCGTCTACAACTTGACAGCACTTAAGAACAACAACATAAAAAAAAAGAAGAAAATACTACAATAAATTAAAAAACCTAGGGGAAGGAGACAAATTCCTAGAAAACCACATATTACCCAAACTGAACACTTGAACAGATTCATCACAAAAGAAGAAACTGAGTAGATCATAAAGTGATTCCGCCAAAAAAGAAAGTCCTGGCCCTGCCGATTTCAGGGGTGAATTCTACTAAATATTCAGAGGTGAACTATCACCGATTCTACTTAAATTGCAAAAAAATATTAAAAGATGGAATACTCCCAAAGTCATTCTATGAAGCAAGTACAACCCTAACATCAAAACCAGGGGAAAACACGCAAATAATCAGAACTACAGACCAGACCAGTGCTCCATGGGAAAAGGACAGTCAATATCATCTCTTGCCATTAACTGCCCCTGAAAACCCTCTGGAGGGTCAGCCATGGCTCAGTTCCAACTTGACGGTACACAATCACAACATGCAGCACTAAGTAAGGAACAATGATTTCATAAAATACTGTTTAACATGGGATAAACTGTTGTTGTTGTTATGAGCCATCGAGTCGCTTGCGACTCATAGTGACCCTATGTACAACAGCCCTAAACTCCACTCTGTCCTGTGCCAATCGTACTGTCTCTGACACTCCCATCCCGATTATCCCAGTCAATGAATCAATCCACCTCATAGAGGGCCTTCCTCTCCTGCGCCGTCCCTCCACCCTCCCAAGCATGATGTCCCTCTCCAAGGACCGGTCTCTCCTCACAACATGTCCAAAGTATGTTAGACAGAGCCTCAGAATC